ACTCCGAGGTACGACCAGGCAGCAGGGCAGGATCTGAACTGAGGTCATGGCTTTCTTTTATTTCCATTTCCTAACTCCTCTATGAGACGAAACATTCTAGCAGATCAAGAGCAGTCTTCCATTTTTTTTTAATCCCTTGCAGCTTTAGTGTGTTGGTTATTAGGGTGTGTCTCAGCTCCAAATCCACCCCATGCACTCTTCTGTGTGATGTCAGGCGTGGGATCCAGGTGCACTACACTGGCCACTGCTCCTTTGCCCAGCTGGCTTCCCAAGAAGTTCTGTCAGTAGGGGCTGCTAGAGGAAGCCTGTGAGACAGGAGGGGAAGGAAGGCTTCTAGTTTGTTCCTTGTGCCTGTGAGCATCAACCCAGCTTTTCTTTACTCCAAAAGCAGTTGGCTTCAGTTTTCTTTTCTCCGCTCCCATTTCAGAGGTACCAGCACCAGCAGAGCAGCATGCTTTTCTCAGATGCCCGGGTCCCTCCTCCACAGGATGCTTCTCCTAAGCTTTGGGGCTCTAATAACTGCATTCTCTATCACCCTGCAGTCACTATCTTTTTCTCTTTCGTATCACCTTTTTGTGTGTTCACTCCTCCAATCTCTGTTTAACCAATTTCTGATATTAATTTCCCCCTGTTAAAATAACTGGTAGGGTGTCTATCTTTCTGACTGGTTCTGACTGAGATATGGGTGGTTTAGCTGCTCCTGTCCATACACACCACCTCCTGATGAGGAACCCCAGCTGGGCCCTTCCAAGGCCAAACGGCCGTGAGTGGAAAAGATCATCCACAAATAAGAAAGGCTGCCAAACTTGAAGGTGCATTCCTTTTTCCAGAAGCTTACACAGTCTGCCTATTACCAATCTCCACTTTGCAATATCTTTTCCAAGGTTAGCAGAATTATAAAAACATCAATTTGGCCATTATTGACTTTTCAACTGGGATACCAAGAAAGTCTTTCAGCAGCCCTGATAAATTAGATCTGGCCACCTACTTCCCAGACTGGAAGGCTCCTACATCATTGACAGAAAAGACAGGAGAAAGCAGTTTTCCCAGCTGTTGCTGTAAATGATGTGCATTGTGCGCACAGCCATTAGCATGTGGAGAGTTTGAAGTGTGGGTAGATTGCAGAGCTGCCTCTTTTAAAAATGCATAAGCACTTTGTGAGTTTGCTAAGTCATGTTCACTCAGCTGGGCTTGAATTTTTCATAGGGTAGAAATATTCTGTCATCTTTCTTCTTTTACTTCTTCTCAGTAAGGACTACCATGAAGAGTTTGAATGAACAGAATGCTTGTTGTATTACACAAATTATGAAATATCATATATATTAACTACTTCATTTAATTTTCTTAAAAGATCGGTGAAGAAGAGACTATTCACCTTATTTTTCAGATAAGGAAACAGAGTCTCAGATTTTTTTCTCCAGTACACCACAGCTGACAAATTGTGAGACTTGACTGTGGAACTTGAGATCTGCTCTGCCGTGTTTTTTGTCAACTTAAATGATTCAATATATGTGTTTAGTTCATTCATTCATTCATCAGACATTTAGCAAACCTTCTCTATGTGCCAGACACCAAAAAAATGCTATAATATCCAACAAATTCAGCAATGGCTTATTCAGAAATAAGGTGGAGCTATTAGACTTTTTGACCAGCAAGTAGTTAATAACTCTACCAAAAGGGAAGAGGTTTTCTGCTTTTTAAAATGTCAATAAATCAGACTTTTCTTAGAATGAAATAGTTTTCTTCCCACATATGGCTAATCAATTGCAACCTATTTTCCCCCCAAATGGAGAGAATTATTATTCCAGCCAGTATTGAAACCTCAGCAAATTAGAAGTCAAAGTATGTTGCAATTTGAAGCACTAAGGCATTTATCAAATCACTGTTTGCTGTGATTGGGGAGTGGGGATACTAGAATACCTTCAGTTACATAATTGATCTTTCATGGGTCTCTTTCATGGGACCTGTGAGCATATATCAGCGGGACTGCAAGGGCGAAGGGGCCTGGTACTTATACCACATTCATGTTTGATTTAGAACCTCTTTGCTTGTGGTTAAGTTTTTGGGAAGAGGGTATCAAAGCAGACAATGCTTCCAAAAGAGAGATGGAGTGGTTTTCTTCTCACACTTGATTATTTTTCAGATTTCACAATGACTCTTCACATAGTGCTTTAGCTGGACTGGATTAAACCTATCTTCTTACTTGATTTTGAAATAATATATAGACTTCAAAAGCCACCTTGTGAATGATCTTGCCAAAACGGTAAAACATTCAAATATTCTCATAAAATATTGAAACATGTGGTAGCATGGCAGGCTACACTCAAATTAAGTTGTTCAGTTTCCCTTTAGTGATAGTGCTTTGAATAAGTGAAAAGTAAGATTTCTATTTGCCCTGAAGCAGGAGGATCCAGCTGACATTTAAGTACATGACGGTCCCAGCAGCTCAGGGAGCAGAACTGCAGCAGAGCCAGGTTCCTGGCTTGCTGTACAGTGGAAGGTTGTAGGAGCTTTCCATGGGAATATAGAGGGATCCCTCATGCCTCGGAGTCACATTGTTAAGATGACCTTTAGAGAAGACTCCCATTTCCTCTGGAGTCCACTGAATGGAGTGACTTCAACTGGGAAGGGAACTCTTGGGCAGAAAGACTGAGGGCTTGCACTTCTACGGGTCCAGCAGGGTTTGTGGACAAAATATTTATCATCTTGCTTAAAGGTAATGGGCAAGTAGGTCTTGGAGATATATGCATGTATATATCTTTCTGTACTTCCTTTCCTCCTCCTTTTTCTTTTCTTCAAGGCAAAATTCAATTTCAGAACTTTCCCAGAAAGGACCAAATTACATCTGCTCTGGTCTGATGTGATTACTGTGCTCTAGCCCAATTCATTAGAACCCTTTCTCAGTTGAGTCATATTAGCACAGGGCTGGCTGAGTTTAGGGGGTGGGGCAGAGGCAGATTCTGCCTGCCAAAGGTGAGAGATGGACCCCCTGAAGTCCATGCTAGCAGACAGAAGCTATTTTCCATTGCTGATGTTTTCAGTCCCCAGCTGCTCCATGTCAAACTGTTTTTATGTTGCATGGGAGATATTTATTTGTAATAGCCTAGGATAACTAGGAGGTTTCTATTGTTGCCCATTGGACTGGTGCTTCTAATTTAATGACTATATAATATAAGGATTTTTCAATCCCATTTTGGAAAGGAACTTGGAAAGGGGGCACATGTTAGATATACTTCTGGAGATGTGATTTACCAGGACTTTTTTTTTTTTTCAATTCCTGGGACACTGTATCAAAATAAGATCAATAAATAATCAAATCACTTAGATAGGGAAATTCCGTCCTGTCTTTTTTTTAACCTAGTAGTTTGCATGTTTTTTCCCTACCCTGACCATATTAGAAATCATAATAAATTAGGATCATGTTGTAATGTGACCTATTACTAATGAGAATAAGACACAGTGAAAACAAAACTGGGTCTTCTCCAAAACATATGGAGATACTATATTATCCTTGTCTTTAGTATTAGTATATAAAAAAAGGAATTGTTTGTTTGTTTATTTATTTATTTATTTATTTATTTATTTATGTATTTTACGGCTTCAGTACAATGAACTGTATGAAATGCCCAGTGATCAGTAAGTAGCATTGAGTTCATGAATCTGGGAAGACTGAATCTTCAGAGGGTGGAAGGTTGAGAGCAGTGACTTATGTTTAGAAAGTTCCTTTGTGCCATAATTGTGGGGTTTTCTGGTTCACTAAGTCACCAACTGTGTATCTGAAAATTCACTCTGTTTCAAAATTGCTGAATGCAGTTCTATGCATCAAGACTTAAGGGAATAGGGACAGAAGGACACACTGCCTTAAGAAAGAAAAAAGAGTTTAGTGGATCATATAACTGAAACACCCACTGACAAGACTAACTTCAGGTATGGCTAGATCCAGGTACTTAGAAATTATTATTAGGATGCAGTCTTTTACTGAATTCTATACTTTTCCTTGGGCTCTTTTCTGGGATTATAGCAATGAATATTTCACTATCTCCACATCAGGGAACTGAGATGCATACAGTAAAATGAATTAGAATGTATTATATGCAATAATAGAAGCACTTACAAAAATATAACCCTGACTCAGAGAGGGGAAAGGCAACTATTTCTGAGGAGGTGGACAAAGACTTCAGAGGAAACATAGAGTTTAAACATTTTTTTGAAAAATAAGTAAGAATTTTACAGATAGGTAAATTAAAGAGAAGATAGAGTTCATTGCCTTGGTTATGACTTTTAGGAGATCTTTATTCAGATCTCAGCTCTGTCAGTTAAGAACTGCACAAGCCGTGGCAAGTTTCTTAAACTTCCAGGGTCTTCGTTTCCATGTGTGGAAATTGGAATTGGAACTATAGAGTCCATGGAATTATCTTAAGAGCCAGTGAGAGGATGGGTATCTAGGGAGTAGACGGGGCTGGCAGAAAGTAAGCCCTTCCTCACTGGTTGCTGTCACCCCAGAGTCATCACCTCCCCCTGCTGTACCTGAAGGTCAAGTTTTGGGTCAGGGGTCAGCATCAGCCAGGGAAAGCAGACTGGCACTTACTGCATACTTCCTGTGTGTCACAGAGTGCCTCTCACTTGACCTTCCTAAATCCTCCCTCTATAGAGCAGGAAAGTTGTTAGCATCTCATTGATGAGGGAACTGGAGCTTTAGAAATTCAGGGGGTCTGCCAAGGTGACAGTGTCACTAGATGGTGTGCTGGATGTTCCACCCTAGGGCTGCCTGACCCTGGTGCCCGTGGGCCTGAGTGTCATGCATATTATATTTTCCACGCTGCACTATCACTCACCTCCACCCCTGGGTGGACGTGGCTTCTGGGTGCCGTTGCTGCCACTCACCTGTGTGCCACCCACTTCTGGAAGCATTGCTGGTGACACCGCTGTGTTTGAGCGCTGTGCTTGCCGCTCAACTGAGCTGCCTGGCACTCATCCCGTGGTCTGTGCTTCCCTTGCAGGTGAGCCTTCCCGGTGGTCCTCGCATTGTGATTGCTGCTGTAAGAATGGCAAGGGTGACAAAGAAGGGGAGAGCGGCACGTCCTGCAATGACCTCTCCACCTCCAGCTGTGACAGCCAGTCTGAGGCCAGCTCTCCCCAGGAGACGGTCATCTGTGGGCCTGTGACACGCCAGACCAACATCCAGACTCTGGACCGTCCCATCAAGAAGGGCCCAGTCCAGCTGATCCAACAGTCAGAGATGCGACGGAAAAGTGATCTGCTCCGGACTCTGACTTCGGGCTCTAGGGAGTCGAACATGAGCAGCAAAAAAAAAGCTGTTAAGGAAAAGCTCTCCATTGAGGAGGAGCTAGAGAAATGCATCCAGGATTTCCTAAAGATCAAAATTCCAGATCGGTTCCCTGAGAGAAAGCACCCTTGGCAGTCTGAACTTTTACGGAAGTATCATCTATAGGGGAGGGCAGGGGGGTGGGAGAAGAAAAGAACAGAAAATGAGTCACCATTTTAAAATAAACCTCCTAAAAAAGCATATTTTAAAGGAAAAGAACAAGTAATGATACACATTTGTTAGAACACGATAGTCCATTAATAAACTACTGCCTACTTTACCTAGTTCACCTTAACGTGTAAATCCACAGGGTAGATTTCTTTCCAGATGTGGAAACACATGAAAACTCTTGTTGTTGTTCATTTGTTTGTTTGTTAACTTGGTCCCGTGTGCTGGGTATCTTACACATGATGAGAACCAGCTACAGCAGAGGGGCTGACAGGCTTTGGGAGTCATCTATCCCAAACTGGGTTTTTTCCTCTCATCTTCTACCTCCCTCCTTTGATCAAGGATACATGGTAGAGTGAGATCTGGCCCAATGGCATAGGTTTGGATTTTTAAAATTTTCCTTTTCCTTTGTTTAAGGGGTTAGGGGGGAATGGCAGATTTATATGACTTTTCACTTAAATCTCTATGTGCCAGTTTATATTGACTCCGTATGCATGAGTATTTGTGCCACACAAGCACAACTAAGTCTGTATATAGACACAATGCACATGACCCAGGGCCTGGGCATCCTAAGGGCTGTGCCCTGCTGCCAGCAGTCCCTCCTAAAGCACTTCACACGGATGCGCCTCTGCCTCTTTCTTAAAACCCTCCTGGGCAGATTTCCCAGCAACTCTTGGCAACACTTTCAAACATCGAATAACCTTCATCATCAACAAATTGTCTTCCTTATTTTGAAATTAATACCTTCAGGCTCCACTTTCCTGTTTTGTTCTTTCTCCATATTTGGAAAAGGTGAGAAGAGCTAGTACAACCTTCTTTTTGTATTAGAAAAAAAAAAAAGAAACACTCATAGCCACAGGGGGGAAAAAAACTACTAAATGATCCCACACTCAGCCTTCTCTACCCTGAGTTGGATTATCACCCTCCTCTCAATACCAACACTTTCATGCTGTGGTCTTTCCACATAATTCACCCAAAGTTCTCTGTACTCCTGTACAGCTGTGGAGCTAAGAAAAACAGACAGAATTTGAGTAAGGGCCCAGCCTTTCATTTGTTTGTTTTAGAATTGCATTCCACACATTCTCCCAATAATTTCTCATAAGGATTTTAAAGGACAGTGCTACATTGTTATTGCTTAGGGCTAGTTTTGGTTGCCTTTGTGTTTCTGGGATTGGCTGTGTCCATACTCGGATTTAGTTGTCATTTCTATTAATCATAACCCAAGTAGGCAATTGGGGATCTGAAACTAAGATGTTGGCTTTCTAAGCTATCTTTATAAATCACATCCTTTACCTGTACAGACACAGCCAAAAAGAAACTTAATAGCCACCCATTCATGTGACTCTGTATTCCATTAATGTACCAATAGCTCCTTTGTAGACTTGTGCTTAATGAAGGTTAACAGACCAGTTTTAATTTTCAGCATTTCTTATGCATTTCAGTAGTAACTGAAAAATAATTTATTGATTATTAATTGTGTGCCAAGCACTTCTAATTTTTTCATTGTGTGTGTGTGTGTGTGTGTGTGTGTGTGTGTAATCATAGGTAATAAAGGCAACTGGATGTCTCTAGGAGGGAAAAGCTATGATCAATTTCTTCTCTTGGAAATCTTTCACTGATGTGCATTTACTATGTAAGAGGTTCTGTATTGATTTCTGTTAGTGCCCATTAGTATCTGGATATCTTTCTGAATTTTTGTAACTCTTGCCTTCACACCCGGGCAATAGACTTAGCCAATGTTTTCTTGTTCTAATGGTTCAAATGGAGTTTAAGTTTTACTTAAGTGAAAAAGAAAGTTTATTTTGGAAGTTGAGATGTCAAGAGAACCATAATTTATGAATTCAAATGGTGTTCTTTTATGTGTTAATATATTAGCATATATTTGATCTTAACTACAACATAGCTTTGTTTGTAAAACCTACCAATATGTCTTCATTCTTTTCAATGTTTATTGATGGTGCATCAAAATACCATCATTCTAATAAGAGAACGTATTGCAAAGAATTACAGAGATCAATGGGTCAAGAAGAAGTTGCATTTAATGTCCATGTCAGTCAAATGATTGTTGGGGTCACTCTGGAAGGGCTGTCAAAAAAATTGGGGGCCTAAGTAAATTGGCCAAAATCCTGACTTCCTTAAATGTCAGACCTAACTGTAACGACATCAAGATAGAGAGATGCCCTGATAAGAATTGAAGAACTGGCCTGGCAGTCAACCCACTGCTTCAACAGTATACTTCAAATAGAAAATTAAATGCTGAAAAAAGAAAGAAAGATTAAAAAAAAAAAGGAATTCATAGCACTATTCCTCTACTCCCTGAACTGTTGTGATTTCTTTTTCTGTGCAGGCATTCTTTATACCTCCAATGAGTAAAACTACTAGCAGGAAATCTGTTAAAAACAATGACACAACATTTTTATTCTGGGTTGGTTCTAAATTGGCACCCATTCCACAGTTTAAAAAAAAAAAGTCTTAAATATTTAAGACAACAACATGGTGTTCATTTGTGTGGGTCTTGGTATAGAGATGAATGTAGACTGGGTTAGTAAAAGGGTGTAAGGAAACATGAAAGTCTTCAGTCCTACTGTGAGTGTAGTTATCACCACACAGGGTCCAGGTGGCATGTAGTACTGGAAATAAGTTTGGGGTAAGTGAATGACAAAATTAAATGCTCTAAAAGTCCTGGAAGTCAGGTCTCTTTCACTGAAGTTAAAATAGTTTTCGGAACTTTTAGTTCAATTTTGGACAGAACAACATATGTGGTTGACTATTGAAGATTGGTTAGATAAGGGCCATAAAGTATTGATATGACAAAACTAATGGTAACTGATGGGTCAATGAGTAGGAGATCATATGTGTAGACTCCCAACTTAGGCTGTGTCCTGAAAAATCTGGCAATGCTAAATTCAATGAGGTGGGAGAGGTCATTCCCTAAAGGCACGTGGGTGTCCCCAAGTCAGAAACACTTACAAAGTTCTCTACCCTCTATCTAAAAGGAGTGCTCTACATTCAGAAGGAAAAGAGGAAGACAGGAAATAAAAACAGACTCATTGAAGCAGTGTGCTCTTTCTCCTCTTCCTCAAAAAAAAAAAAAAAAAAAAAATCACACTGAGATGTGGTCATGGAAACAACCAAGTAAGGTGGCTCCCAAAGTATGCAGTGGTGTTTTCCTTTGTAATTTTGTAATTACAGTCACAGATACCTTCGAGGAAATGCACGCATGGTGATTTAAAATAAAAGGGCAGGGGGAGCACAATCCACAAGCATTCCCTTTGTTCTTTATCCCTCCATAGTGAAATCTGTTCCAGTGGATTCATTTGGGGGACATACATTGATTAAAGGGGTCGGCCATAGAATTTTTCACTTTTCTATTGGGCTTGTTTGATTTTGAGGCAGGTTTATCCATACTCGGAGGTGTGTAGCTCATTCTGGATTTTTCTTATTTACCACTGCTCATGCTTCTGGATTACTTTTGCTTCTCTGGGCTTTATATGCCACTCTGAGTATCCTTTGTATATGCCAAGTAAAACATGCTCTATTGAGAAAAAGGAAAGGCATATGTGGTGTTTCACAAAATTGTTTGACACCAGTTTTCACAGTGGAAGTCAGACATTGATTCTCAGCTGTCTTCCTTGGCTACCATTTTATTCTTCCAATTTCTTATCCACTAGCGTGGATTAACCCAAAGCATTTGAGTGCTGTTTTTTTGTTTGTTTGTTTGTTTGTTTGTTTGTTTTTGCCACTAGATACAATGCTGTGGAGTTTGACTAACTTTGGCTTTCTAGATGATCTTTGCTAGAATTAATAAGACGTTTTCCATGAACTTTCAGGAAGAATTCTTTGTCAACTCCACTTGACATAGCAATTTTCTAAGGAAAAGTGAAGGGAGTTATTTTTTTCCCCTGGTGCCTCTGTGGCAGATTAATGTTTTGCCAATTTGCATGCTGGCTTATAGGTTTAGCATGGGCCATTTCTTTCCTTAATGTCTTGGTATTGTTGGTGTCTTGTAATCTTGATGGCCCACTGTTCCAATTTATTTATTTTCTTTTACATTGTCAAAATAACACACTAGAGAAAGATTTAGACTGAGCATTCTGTATTTGAAGTTACAATGGAGTTAGTTGTCATTTGTACAGGACTGTACAATGATTAATATCTTTAGAGAAATTAGACCAAATGAAACCTGCTGGAATGGGTTTGATTTATATTGCCTTCATCATTCTGGTTCTAGATGAAATGGTTATTGCTCTCCACCCCTGCTGAAAGAAAAAGAGTCTCAAACTTTAATAATCATAGCCTTGTGATACAACCACAGAGCTTATTTGTTTGAAATGCCTGTTTTTCTCTTCTTGCTGTATACATTGGAGTGGAGATTCTTTACCCGGTGACCTCCATAGCAAACAATTTAGCAGCAATTCTCAATATATAGTATGCACAAAAAATCATTTGTAGCACTTTTTCCAGATTTCCTTCACCCTAAATCCAAAGAGCAGAGCCAAGGAATCAGCATTTCAGCTTGTATTCTTCATGATTTGGGTGAGATTGGTCTATGGACCTTACATTGAGAAACTATTGTTTAGTGTTAGATCAACATTTCTCTCACCTCCTAGTGGCATGTCTTCTCATTTTCTTCCCACTACAAATAAGTCAAAGCATATATTTTCATCACCTTAAGAAAAAGGGCCTAAATAAAAATATCTAGGGCTAATGCACAGTCGATTTCCATGATTCCTTTGCCATTTTATCTGCCTTTCAAATATAATCCCTTCCTTAGAAGGTTTGGTGTGTGCCTTTTTTCCCCAAACCACAAGCTTGTATCACTTAAGTTTTATCCCTGGGTAGAAGGGAACATGTCTCTGAGTGAGATGTATCCTTATGACACCCAATAAGGAATAAGAATATTGACCTTTCTCAAGGAGAACTATTCGTTTCCTTGCTCAGTGGAAGTCAGAGAACTGAGAGTGTTCTATAATTTAATGATGTGTATGGCCCCAAAGGTGGTTCTATTGATGGTATGTACAAATATCATCATAGTGAATATGGAAGTGGTGAATGAATTCAGCTGCTTCACATCAATAAAGTCCTGAGCCATTGAACTACTTAGTTTGCCCAATTTAATTCAAGCAGGACTATGAAGCTCTCAGATAATGACATTCCTGACCTCTAACACCAACTAAAATCTCAAAGCAAAAGCTCATGTATGAGAATAAATGCAAAAGAAAGAAATAAGGAGTGAATTTTAAAATGGTAACAGTGCACATGTAATGATATAAAGGGAAATGAAGTCCTGCAATTTTCTAGTCTCTCTGACCAGTGGAGATGCCAATACAATGATTATTTAGCAAAAAAAAAAAAAAAAAAATCTGGAAGGTTACAATTATAGACCCAGTTAGCCCTATCCATATAATAAAATAACTGAATAGATGCTAAATTCCCATTTTATAAGAAATAGAGAATGAATGAGTTAAAGAGGGAAAGAATGGCTAATCATGATTGTCTGTGAATATTTAAGCAAAGATTACTGCCAAAGGAAATAGTTAATTGATGAATAGTTAATGGAATTGATGAACTTGAGCAGCTAATTAAGATTTGGTCAATATAAAAACAAAATGGTTCAATATGATTCAGTTTGTTTCCTGCTTTCCTACACTTCCTTCTACCCCAACTTTCTAAGCTTTAAAAAAATTTTCTCTTGTTTGTGAACAAATTGTATTGTTAGTTGGGCAATGAATTTTATGGCCCAGACTGTCATCTTTGCATTATTTAGGGAAGCTACTTTTAAAAGGATAAACAAAATCATGCCCTTGCCCAGCAATTATCAAGGGGTTTGTCTTGGGAGAAGGGTGGGGAATACTTTTCCTGTTAATCAGCTTTATAAAAGCACTTATGAGCCAACTAAAGATTTAGTAAGTCTCTCCCAGTGATCTGCTCTGTCTTATCAGTTTATTCTTAATGATTTTGGTGAGATTGGTCTATGGACCTTACATTGAGAAACTATTGTTTAGTGTTAGATCAACATTTCTCTCACCTCCTAGTGGCATGTCTTCTCATTTTCTTCCCACTACAAATAAGTCAAAGCATGTATTTTCATCACTTTAAGAAAAAGGGCCTAAAGAAAAACATCTAGGGCTAATGCACAGTAGATTTCCATGATTCCTTTGCCATTTTATCTGCCTTTCAAATATAATCCCTTTATCTGCATTTGCACAATAAAAATCAACATAACTTCAGATTCTCTTCTTGTAGATGCTGGTTCTATCCATCACAAATGGAAGAAAATTGATGTAGCATGAAGTAGTGCAGAGTTGTTTCAAAGCTGCATTTCTGTTGTGACTATATATGTTTGTGCATAAGGCCATGTGCAATTTTTAGGTTAGTGTTGGGTCAGTGGTTAATGTCCATGTGTGTGTTATCTGAGTGCTTGGAAAAAAGTGTTTGGTTACAAAGTTTAATAGCTTTTTAGTTGTGAAAAATAGTTGACTTTTACTGTGGGTATCAGTCCTTGAGAATGTTGAGTAAAGCTGTTCTCCTGATATGAAATCCAAACATGACAGATTTCTGGGGCAAAATTAAAGTCCTTTCAATCTATATGGTCAAGAGTGGCATCTCTCTCTCTCTCTCTCTCTCTCTCTCTCTCTCTCTCTCTCTCTCTCACACACACACACACACACACACACACACACACACATAAATGTATAAAGGAAAGAAAAAGAATGTGATCCTGGGGATTAAACACAGACCCTTACACATAGTAGGGAAATGCTCTACCACCAATCTGTACCTCCAGCCCCTAAAAATGCATTTTTTTGAAAGCTAAAATTTACATAGAATTCCCATTGTTCATTATCAGTTTTTCTGAACTGTGTGTGACCAATGGTCAATGGTTTCCTTCTTTGAGAGAAACAAAAACACTTTCAGAAAATCTTTTCTTTATTTTGCTTGGGTTCAATGCATGTAAAACATTTGGTTCTAAACCAGGGGTGGTTTTGTGACCTAGAGATATTTTGGCAATGCCTGAGATATCTCTGAGTGTCATGATAAAGGTGTATTGCTGATATCTAATGGGTATAGGTGAGAGATGCTGCTAAAAATCCTGCAATGCATAGGAATGCCCCTCAAAACAAAGAACTATTCTGCCCCAATGTCAATAGTGCTTAGGTTGAGACACTCTAAATTAAGTGTTGGTGTAAGTTTTCTGAGGTATTCTTTCTGTATCACGTCCTGAAGATAGGATAAAATATAAAAATAATAGTTGCCAACTCAAATGTAGACACTGTTTATTTGAATTTAGATACAGTTATCTCTTTGTGGAGGCTGATATTTTTGGGAGAAAAATATGTAACTTTTTCTAGGATTCTGTTAGTGATGGGACAGTCCTATAGTTTAGGTGTCTGTCTTCTACTTCAATCTTTCTGCCTGAGAAAAATCATACTTCATTGATGTTGTCAACCTCAGAACAGCCAACTACGTTTGTTGGGAAGCACTTTGGGAGCATTTTCAGTTTACATAACCTTGTTGAACATGTTTTCAAGCTGATCAATAGTAGGCAACAAAATGCTCTCAGAAATGAAGCCAGTAAGAAAGAGAAAAGTTTTAGAGTAGGCCAATGATTTCATCATTCTTAATGCTCATTGTTTACTTTATTTCCTTGGGGTCTAATAGCGACTCACTAAAGAGGCACTTCAATCTTGGAGAATATGTTTCTCAGATGCACCCGGGGTGGCTGCCACACCCTGTTTTCAAAGGTGCAACAAGTCTGAGCACAACCCCTGGCTGCTGACCCTTATTATTTGGTATGAATATGCTGACTTTATTAGGACACAAAGCACATTTGCAATCTCAGATAATTGGATGTTTTTCTTTTAATTCATCTACCCACATCCAAAGGATGGATTAAAGGCCAGAGCATTTTATTCCCATTTTTTTTAATAAGGGAATCTAAGAACCAAGAATTTAAGTCATTCATTCATTCATTTATTTGTTTCATGTATGTGTTCATCAATGATGTATTGAGTACATACCATGGACAGAGCACTATAATGAACTTTATAATCCCCTAGGGAATCAAATTTGGAATAAAGAGGTTGAATTCGTGTCATCCAAATTCTAGACTAACATTATTTCTGTATGTAGCTATGATCAACATTCTATAATTGTGGTTTAAATATTGTTATAAATAACATTTATTAAAGATTTATTGTTACATGCCAGAAACCTCTACAGTGTTTCACATACCTTTTCTCATTTAATCCTATGATAACCCAATGAAGTAGGGTTTGCCACCATCCTCCTTATAAATGAGGTTGTGACGTTCAGAAAAAGAAAATAGCACATAAAGGCTGATGGCTTAACCATCTCATTGTATATCCTCTTTATTCTCTGGACCTTGCCACTTTCTCATCTCTTCTACTCTTAAGTAAAGGGTAGCCAGGGTAAACTCCACCTGACACCCTTACTGGAAGTCATTGGCTATTTTAAATTGCAAATCCTAATAGATATGCATCTGCAAAAGAGATAAAGAAAAGGCAAATTTGGAGGGGTAGTTGTTCTTGCAACCAGCTGTCATTTATGCCACAAACCCTACCAAGGGGCAGGAAACAAGTAGAACAGGTGTCTGGCAAGTACTGATTCCTCCCAAACCCAAAGTGGTAAGCTAGCTTCCATATCAGGAGAATGGCACCTGGACTGCATGCTCTGCTGCACTAGGTCACCAGGGAGAGTTTTGGGAGAAGCACCAATGGTGTATACCCATGGATGGTACATGTATTGATACTTACATGCATCTATGTATCTTCATGTTTGGACTTTTATAAAAAGATCGGGTTTTTATTCAATTCAAATCAGAAATTCAAAAATGAGTCAGCTGCCTCCAAAATCTCATGATTACTTTTCTAAGTTGGGGGGAAAAGAAAGGCAGCTGCAGAGAAGAAACTGCATTGAAATATGTGAGGGGGTGTGAGAATGCATATATGTGTGTTTTGTTTGTGTATAAAATTACATGTATATATGTATATATGTGTGTACATCTATCTAAATGTGTATATATATATGCATATAAATATCTTCATATATATACACTCATAAAGAAAACTCATAGTTTGAAATTCTGAGTTTGGGAAATTTATTATTATTATAATTTTTATTTGGTTTCCTAGAAGGTGTAATATAGTTTTGATTTCTAAACTCTCTCCCACTATGAATGTTTGTATGTATTTATGTGCAGAAAAATGATCAAAATTCCTAGATTTAACATGTATGAATACAAAACCAAACAAAATGCCAAATGTGTAAAAACTGGCTTTCTTATCAAACCATTTGTTGGAATTTTAAATTATGTGTTTTCAAACCTGTTCATTAAAAACATCCACCAAATGAACAGTGATAATATTTAGGAAGAAAAGAAAAAGAAAATGTAGGTATTTCACTTGCCTATTGGTTAATTTACTATCTCCTGGTTGATTTCAGTTTATCATTCATGGGAGTTTCTGTGGCTTATATGATTTGTAGGTAGAGTTTATTATCTGTTTAATTACTCTGAAGGTACAGTAAATAATTTATAATATGCATATTGTAAATAGATACTAAAGCTCAAGGGTACATTGAATATTAACCAAACACTCTCCTGTCCCCTGAAAATAGCCCTTCCAGTCTGTTTATACAAATACCAAAACAGTTGCTCAAAGAAGGAACAAAATATAGTGAAATGGAAGAAAACATTACTTGCCTGTTTTGGCATCCTCTAGACAAACAACCAAACGACTGCATTTTGGACATTATTCAGGGTACAGTAAGTTGTGTTCTCACTTCATAGCCATGTATTTTCCATGTCACTGGAGAATGTGAAAAGTGATTGAAGTCAACCTATGCAAACAGATCTTCCCTGGTGCTCCCTGGGATCATGCACACAACCCTATCCCTCCAGATACTTAGCCTGGCTCCCAGCTCAGTCTAGGCTGACAAACCAAGCACAGATTCTTCCTCCCAGGGACTCATCAGGGTGTGCACACAACCAGAAGCACTTGTGAACTAATCAAATAAGGTCATTTACTTCTTCCATAGGCCTCCTGTCAATGTGGTCTTAAAAACATGAGAAAGATATATATATATATATATATATATATATATATATATATATATATATATATATATATATATATATATATATATATTCATTAGTGAAATATATATATATATATATATAAAACATAGTAATTAAATATATATTAGTAATTAAATTTTCTAATTAAGTTTAAGGACACTAAAAGAAGTGATTTTTTCCCCCCCAAAATTGGGACACAGGATATTTTACATCATCTGGCTTTAAGTTCCCATGCTATTTTCTTTCATTTACATATTTTTTAATTCCAAAGGAACAAGTTGAATCAAGAGAGCTTTTCTTAAAATACGCTGCTTAATTTATATTAAAAACAGATTAATCTATTTTTCTTAAATTTTGAGGGGTAGGGGTGCCAAACCCTTCATGACCCTTTTTCTGCTCTAAGGAAATGGACTCACACATTATTGGAAAGGTATCCTATTCAAAACATCGAAGTATTGACTTAGGGGATCTGCTTTTCAGAAAATCCCATGGAAAATTATTAATGGGATCTGCTTTAAGTGAGTCACTCCTTTTACTGGTAATAGGGTTCAGCCTAGTCTGGAAAATAAATAATCTTTGTGTTGGCTGAAGAAACCTAAATAAAAACCTTAGTAGAATTCTTGTTTCCCACATCTTTCACAACCAGCAGAACACTGGGTAGAACTTGAGAAACAAAATAATTTGTCCCAAATATATTGTCATGTTTAAACAATATCAGCACTTTTGAAGTGAAGGGCGCTGTTGATTAGGTTACCTGGAGATCTCCAAATACATTTTCCCAGGGATTACCAAGATCCTCTTTACATGTCTCTGATGCTTTGAATGTGGTGTCACCACAGACAGAGAAGTGTTGAGTTTTGCTGGAACTAACACTGGGTGGTGATTTGCTGGGGCCTTGCTCATGTTACTTTTTCCTGACCTCATTGAAGCACTTGATGAATTGGGTCAGTTTGTTGCACATTGATGTATACCAAGTGACACCCATTGAAATTACCTCTTCTCTTTTCCAATGCAGTTTGCTTGTACATAAGTGTAATGTCAAATTGTTTACAGGTTCTTTTTGTGTGTAATTGTGATAGCAGACTTAGCTTAAACTTTAAAGGAATCTGTTTACTGAATGGTGTTAAAATGAATGTGCTTATTACAGTATAAACATCATTAATTATGGACTCACATGAATGCATGTCTACACGTTGTCAATTCCCGGCAACTCGGTTATTCAGCAAAAAGTCTGCAGTCTGTGAATAGGAAATATACATAAACTACTGTGACTCTAAGAACTCATTAACTGTTTTACCTTGGTATGTAATACTGTAGATCTTAGCCTGCTGTATTTCTTTCTTACCTATTTGTTTTTGCGAGAGAAAATGATAAAAAAAATAGTACTATAATGTCCCAATGGATTTGCACACCACTTTGGCAATCATTGGACCACTCAAAAGGCAAATGCGTATAGATGGAACAACAGCCCCAAGCAACATATATATACATATATACACATTTATGTATGCAGTATCTACAAGGCTAATTACTACCATCTATCTTTACTGCCAATGAAAACAACTATTTTCTTTGAAATCACTGA